ATCGCACTCTCGCCTGCATTTCGCGCACTCGACACGCACGATCTCCGCAGAGGGTTGCACTTTCGGTTGACGCTGTTCGTCCCGCACTCCGCCTTTAAGAGAGAATTTATAAAGTGGGGAAATGTTTTTTCATTAGGACATCTCCCGTGCTAGTTTTCCATACTCACACTTGCCTGCTCATTGCATGCTTGCATGCTCATTGCATGCTTGCATACTCACCCTTGCATATCGTTGCATACTCACACTTGCATACTTTGCACTGGCATACTTCGCACTTGGATGCTTTCGCTCTTCCAGTGTGTGTGTGTGTGAGTGTGGAAGTGTCAGTGTGTAAGTGTAAGTGTCGAAGTGTCAGTGTTCAAGGGATTTTCCGGAAGAACCCTTCGCAATGCTTTCGGGAAAAAGAACATGGCGAGTTGAGCGAGTTGTGCTCCATTTAATGATTCGCTAAAGAAAGAACTATATACTTGTAGACGTATTTAACTTTATTTAACATTATTTAGTCTGAGTGTTGGTGCCAACTGCTAGTATTTACAACTGGGGGACTGAGGCACAAGCCAGGCAATTCCGACTTTTGCGCAGAGTGGCCGCAGGCATTGGCCAGGGCGTTTCATGTTCATGGAGTGAAGATGCAGTGACGGAAGATGGGAACAGGGAAAGGTCCTGCTGCCAGGCAGGTTGTGTTGGCTTCTAAACAAAGACAGACAGAGAAAGTTCTTTCAATGGGATTCTGAGAGACACTGCAGTTGGGGTTGGACGTTCGTTTTGTGTGTGGTATACATGATGCAAAGATTCTCAAGTGTCACAGAGTTGAATATTATGAGTACTGTGGGGTAGCAATTCATTGCATGAGTCTAGGATCTCCTAGCCATTTGTCGCTGGCAGGACGAGTCCCTTTTCAAGGCCCGTTGATGCTGAGTCTGGAAGGTGCCGCATCAGCAAATTTTGGGTAGCTCGTACCGAGCCATGTAGAATTCCAAGCAGTGTCCTGGAGCTTTGGAGTTGTTTTGCTAGCCAGGTGTCTTCCTAATAAACACCCGCAAAGGCCAGCAGCGCCAGCACGGATGTGAAAAAGAACCCAGGCAATTTCACTGATTCTGTGTTGCCTTTAGCATTCAGTAGTTCTGATAGAAATAGACGCCCTTGACCCAGCAGAACAATGTGGGGAGACATGAGATAGATGGCTTTGGAAGAACACCGGTAGAAAAGACCAGGTGCTGCAACTGCCTGGGGAAGCTGCTGGCGCTTCCGCGCACAATTTCTCGATGTTTCTGCCGATGTTTTCAGACGAGGTGGTATTGGCCTTTCCGAGAAAAAAGAACATCTACAGTGGTCAAAATGGACAAGTCCAAGCATGAATGTGTTCCCTGCACAATTTGCAAGAGATGCTGTAGCCTAGAATTAAACCTAATAGCAAAAGGAACCTAATTAGCGATGGCGATGGCCTCCACCCTTATTATAGTGATGGCCTCCACCCTTGGGATAAATCTCTTATGCAAGACAATTGTACCCTGCCTTGTCATACAGACTGTACATCTATTGCTTTCCCCGGCGCAGGTTGCACGCTTGATCGAGCAAGCGCGAGTCGATACTGAAACCAAGGCCTCAAAGGGTTGCACTGGTTGCATCAATTTGCTTCCGTAAATGAGAAGGATGAAGAGTGAGGAAGGGAGGAAGAGAGCATGTGTCATGCGAGTTGTCGTGCAGGAGATGATGTTTATTGATCGATTTGTAAATGGCCGGAGGTTAGAGATCTCACGGGTGGGGCTGAAAAGTACACCTCAGCACACTGCGCAGGTCAAAATGGAGTTGAAGCAGATCCGTATCTAGCTTAGTTGTGAAGCTGGCCTAAATTTTAAATCATGCTTGCCTCGGAGATGCGGTTCTGTCAATCCTCAAAGCCCCTGTATCAGCGCAAACGTGTTTCGACCATATTCGACCGGTCTCTTAGCAACGGCTGCAACAACAGCTGTGGAGACGAGTCTCGTTCCATTCTTTCTGGTCTCGCAACATGGGCTTCAAAGCGATGAAAACATCCCAGGCCAGACCATGGTGGCAATGGATGAGCGGCTGGATCAGATGTTGGTTCACCTTGATGGCCACAGCCTCATAAGTGCCTTTGAGTACACTCAAATTAGATCAAATTAGGATCTTAGGGCATTGGGGATCTGGGGAATTCAAGAAGTGAAGACTCTTGCTACATATCCGAAGCTAGACAAAGACTGTACATGTCCCATCGCTCAGTCTTGAGGCCTCCAACCGCAGGAAAATGCAGACACACTGACGGCAGAGGCAGGGGCCGGGCGGAAGGCAATCTCAAATGAACCTAATGGCAAAAGGAACCTAATAGCGATGGCCTCCAAGGCCATGGTTCGGCTTTGTGTGGCACAAAAGAAAAAGGGCGAAACAGCATCTGAGCCGGACGAGCGGACGAGCTTTAGAAACAGGCCGTGGCGCAACTCCTCTCCAAGACTGAGCAACAGTGGGGCCAGGAGATCAGGAGAGCTGATGACTGCAGTGAAGAACCCGTGCACAATGCACCAGATTGTTTGGAGAAAATTGAAACTTGGAAACAAACAAAATACTTGCGCAGGACTCTGAAGCAGGACTGCATTGCTTGCTTCTCACAAAATTCTGGTGTCTTAGTGCTGATCAAGCGAATGAAGCCCAACAAAAACTGTAGAGTGAATTGGGAGTTGGCATATTTATTCATCATGACTGCTCAAGCTTGTACGTCAGGTTTCACTCTCCGGAGAAGCGCTCCTGGAGTTTCATGTTAGCATCAGCTCTTGACATGTACTGACATGTTGAAAGGCAAGCGACTGCCCCAGTGCTAGAAGCAGTGCTATAGTCATATGAGCCATATAGTATCATATAGTCACTGGTGAAGGGCATTTGTCAAACGTGTTCAATCTTGGCCAAATAGAGCAAAACGAGTCACGTGTTATAGTTAGTCACACACAAACGTCACTAGACGTCGTCACGTCACCCGGCGCAAATCCGATGCGATGCTTTGGCCGCGCCTTGGGGTTACTTGGCCTTTGGAAAGGATGAAAAAGGGCCAAACAAAGGATTTAGAGAATTTTGACCGCTAGTGTTCATATCTTGCAAGAAGCCTCTCAAAAGAACTTCGCTGGAGGCATTGACCCTTCTATATTTCTCAGGCGGGAATGTTGTTTATGTTGTTTGGAATTGTCAAATCATGCCTCAAGCAGTGAAGATTGTTCATCCTGGCGTGTTTTAAAGTCAAGTAACTGAGTTGTATGCTCTGAACCAGAACTTTGACGTGTATAGTTTGACTTCAGCCCATAGATTGATGGAGGTTCAACTTGGGCAGAGGAACGAAGTGCTTCATGGCAGCATCTAAATCATGCCAAACACATCTACTCACGATTCACAACGCAATTGTGGCCTTTGCCAGAAATCGCACATATCAGCCACCATTTGAAACTCGCTGTGCTGGGTTGGTCGGGATAGACAGACATCCCAGATTGGGGAGCAACGTAAAGAAGAACTCCGCTACAGAGACAATGTCCTCTTAACGAACCAGAGGGCCTTTGCATACATGAAAAGAAGCAAGGACGCTACTAGGGGCTCCTGGCCGTACTACTAGTAACAAGAAGCTACTAGGGGCTCCTGGCATCGCTACTAGGAGCAAGGGCGCTACTATTGAAAAATATTGAAAATGGACGTCGAAGACCGCAGAATGCCCATCATGAGCCCACAAGCAACCCTTGCAACATGTTGGATAAGCGGGGGAGTTTGCCCCTAAGAAAACACTGTCATTTGCAGAGCAGTGGCAGTTCCAAGACGCGGATGCCGAGTGAAGATGGCTCGAAGCTTTCCATTCCTCACGCAGCAATGTTGTGAAGCCGATCACAAACGTCCTGTAGCCGATGACAACGTTGTGTTACCGATGTCCATGTTGTGAAAGCGAAGACAAACATTCTGTAACTTATGTAAACATGTTGTGATACCGATGACTTGTGAAACAGTCACAAAGTGTTCTGTAATTGATGACAACCCCTGTCAAAATTGTTAAATCACTCCAAGGTCTCCTCTCTTGGCCTCATCAGACGCTCGGTGAAGTCTTCAACAGTTCAAAGATGTTCCTCACTCTGAGGACTATGTTCATCTAGGTCTAGGTTCATCATCTAAGAGATCAACATTTAACTTCAGCTGGGAAAGCATCGTCCTACGTACCGGTCTCAGGATCACATTCGCGAAAGCACTTCAAACACCATGGAACAGAGCTGCTTGCGACCAGCGCAGATGGTCAACTAGCCACTCGTCTTGTCGTCTTGGATGGTACCTGACATATCCTGACGTTAACTGTTGTCCATGTCTTGATTCATGGCGCGAAAAAGCTGGTGCGAGGAACCTGAGCCTTTGGGACAAGCTGCTGGACCAGACCCTGGAAAGTGCAACATCTTCAGCCTTTGGGAGAAGCCGTGCTTTGGCATTTACTTGGGAATTTTGAATGCCACTTTGGCATTCCGTTTGTTCTGTTGCTTCCACTTGCATGTCAAGCTGTCAGATTCAGAGCTTCTGTTTATTAATAGCAGACTTGCCTTGGCAGAGGTCTCATTTGGAGCAGCAGCCTCTTTTCGAGCGCTTGGTGGCTTCGTCGGAATCTTTGGTGCTTAAGAACTGACAAGTTTGCCAGCACAGCCAGGGATGATGCAAGGTAGGTCTGGGGAACAAAGGGAAAAGATGACCGGAGTTCATGCGCATGTGCGATCCCCACTTGGGGATTCTATATGTCGTAGACGCTGTTCAGGCCCTTCCATACTTGGTCCCAGTTCCGAACATCCACAAGCCCAATCCACACAGAAGTTGCAAGCAACAAACACCGCTGCGATCCATCAACCAGCGCAAGTCCTAAGACTGCTGCATGCATAGGTATTCCATGGCCCAAAGGAATGCAAGAGAAGATTGTGTCAGCCTTGCCGTAGCCAGCACTCGCAGTGATTGAGTGGCTAAGAATGCTGTTTTGGGCAATGAAGGTACTGGAAGCTTCTCGTTCTAGGTTGGAGGCCATTGCGTCTAGGTTGGAGGTTTGGGGAACAAAGGGAAAGGGCCATGCTGTTACTGGACGTTTGGCACTGGAGGTACTGGAAGCCTGGCGACGTCATTCAAACGGTTTTTGCAACGAGCCCTTCCTCATCACTGACGAAAATGTCCGTGAGGCTGTGCCAGATCTACCAGAGGAGCAGCAACAGATTCAGATTGCGGTGTTCACAGCAGCAGGTTCACCAAGATGTGTTGGATAAAAAGTGGCTTATTGTCTATGCTAAATGCTAATACCGCTGGCTTTTCTCCAGAATGGACATCCCCGTCGCCTCTACGGATTCGTCTAAAAGCATCCTAATGCAACGCCTAAAACATGTTTCTTCCTTCGTTCGTTCGATTCCTTAGGAGTACTTTCGTTTGCCTTATCCGGCGGCCAAATCGGACTTCATTCGCTATGCAGCCAGAACCTTAGCTGGGGGGTAAGGCCGTGAGGTGAGCAAAAAAGTAAATAAAGGAGGTGTGAGGTGTAGCTGTAGCTTTTTGTAAGGCCGCCCATACTTGTTAAGTAGGCGCCTACTTATATAATTTTGTAAGGAGGTAAGCTACTAGCAATAGGAAGCTCCTTGCTGGGACGCAGGATAGCTGACGCTTCTTCAACGAAGTTCCCCCCGCCCTCAGGCGGGGGGGAGATTCCTTGAACAAGCGCTCGCACCAGATGTTTACCGAAACTTGCTGTCCCTACAAAAACGTTGGACGAAAGTTCTACTGGATATGCTAATCCCACCATCGATGGATGCCCGTGCTTCAAATACATCAAGCAACCTGAGGTTTTGCATCACCATGGTGGGGTGTATATCGATTTCGATATGCAGCTTGCTTGCAGAATGTTGAAGCATCTCTTGCAGCTGAGCTTGCTTGTGTTTGTGTTGGAGGTTGTTTGGTTGCTTCTATATTTTGCGTCAGAGCAGCTGCTGAAAATGTACAAAAAGTTCATACTCTTTGATTGAACAATCCTACCCAATGAGGGACTAAAATGTTAAAAGAGGATCCAGTAGTCAATGTTCGCACAATAGCAGGTTGCCAGTGGTTCCCAAAGCATATTCATAGTGCAATTCTTGGCATGATAGGCGTATTAAAGTAAACCTGGCTCCTGACTTAACAGACACTTGCTGGCCACGTGCATGTGTATGTTAGGCTGACCATACAAGATGTTGACCAAATTGTCCTGAGCTCAATGTATTGTGCAAGATTAGTCGAATTCTTGAGAGGTGATCTAGACTCTAGACAATGTGCTGGTTGGTTGTGTATGATGCTAGGAGTGGGAAATGTGAGCAAACGAAAACCAAGGTGAAAAAAGTGAAGAAGCTAGATTTGGTTTCTTATAGCGATGGACAAGATGGGAGTGACTGTAGAGGCAAGGGGAGGAGCTGAGGGGCAGCCTGGTGTCTTATGTTATGTTCCTTGCCCGGAGATGTGCTTATGGGGCCTTTGGGGTTTTGTGCATGCTAGCTGCCATGGAACCTGCAATTCAAGAGAACGAAACCTAAACAGTACAAAGCATGGCTACTCTGGACTGAAGCCATTTTGAAGACAGTGGACTTCCAAAGCATGCATGTGTTTTGCCAATATGGTTTGTGGCTTCGGTCACAAATTCTCGCCGATGTGCCCAGGCTTTTCCTCCAACTTTTTGGGAGGCATGGATCATGAGAAGAGAGTATCTGAAAGATGCGAGTTGAGATATCATGGACTCTTCATCTCCATTCACATCTAGAGAAGGCTAGAAGAATTTTGCTGTTGGTCGAACGTAGATGAGGCACCGCAAAATTTGGACGACCGTGACTGCGATACATCGCTCAGCCAAAGGTCGGAAAAACAGCAGTTTTCACCTTGCCGTGTGGGAAGCCCAAAAGGCTGCAGCCACTTGGCTTCAACCTGTGCAGCTGCTAACGAGTTTGGTCCAAAAATGTTACTCCATGTCTGAATCAGGTTTCTCAGCATTGCAACATCTCCGAAAAGGGCCTTGAGAAAGTTTGCTGCGATCCAGCTGCACTGGGGCGGACATGTTTGATTCTATAAAGACAAAAGAAGGTACGGATATATAGGTAAGGACCCCTTTATTATAAGGCTGAAAGGGGGCCTTGTTAAAGGGGTCGCTACCTTTTTCATGTTTTTTCTGCATGTGTGCCTTCTTTCAGTGAAAGAGTTTATTTCCCCAGTGCGAATGTCAGGTTTTGACGACACCAAACAGGAATGCCATATCCCGTGGGGAGGACGCTTACTTTGTTTGGTGATGTACGCAACATGCTGAGTGGAAGAGCACATGCTGAGTTAATATAGTTAAGTATCCCTAAAATCTAGGAACCAAATCATTAGAGCGAGCGCTATCCTGCGTCCATAGGTAGTAGCTTACTTGTAGGTACTAGCTACCTCTTCATACCTCTTCTACTAGCTACCTCACCTACCTCGTCTACTAGCGGCCTACCCCTCCTTAAAAAAACGATTACCGTGCTCTTTCTATGTGGTTTTCGATTCGAGTTGATTCGAGGACTGGGTGAGCAGATTTCTCACAAGGTCTTTGCCGCCTCACCACCAAAATCTGCCTTCTGCCGGGTTGTCAGCCTGACTTGTCAGCCATTTCCAACGGTGTAGCTGTTGTCAGTGCCAAGGCTTCAGCGGCGATGAATCTTTCAACCCAGATCGATTTGAATTTGTTTTGGAGCACAAGCAGAAAATGGAGGACGAGAGGGTCGGGATGTTGCTTGAGTTGGCGAGTTGTCTGACCAGGGGATTTTGATGGAGTTCGCCGCTTGTACGCTGCTCAAAGGAAGCGGAAGTGGAATTCAACGCTAAAAAAGTGGCAAGGCCATTTGACAGGCAAGGGCACAAGCATTTGCAACATCGAAAATCCTCCACTGACGGTCTGGAAGGGGCTTGTACCACTTCTTTAATGCTTTGCATGGATGGGAAGCTTGGCTGCCCGTGCGATTTGTTTTTGCATCGTCAGTTGAAAAGGGCGAATTTGTCAAACCAATTTTCCCGTGTTCCCACCAGAAGAGCACTCATGTTTCTCAACCACTCAAGGAGAAGCACTCTTGTGCTGCTGCCTCAAGATGTTGATCTTGAGTTACACGTTGTGTATGCAAGGAATAGTTTTCTCGATGAAAAATGTCTCGAGTTGTCGAGCGTCAATTTGATGTGCTCAGATCAGCTGACGGCCAAGGCTGACTTGTTCAACAACTCGACCGTTGACGCTTGCCTCAAATATTGGACACTGTGCAAAATGATTATATGATGATTTGAAACATTCCGCTTGAGACGAGGTTGCAGGAATGTTTCAATACAAGTTTGTCACGCAGTCTTTACTTTGGATGGGACTCGGCAGATGTTTGAGGTTGGCCATTTGTTCTCCAAGAGTTTCTCAAGTGGCCGTGGTTCAAAGCCTAGAAAGGCACGCAGAGTGCACAGTAAGTCTTGAAGTGCGAAACAGAGCTTGTGTTGCTTGCAATGGCACTATCATCCGAGTTCTGCTTCCACAAGGTCTGAGAGCCTTCCAGCTGGAATCATTGTAGCTTTGTGGCTCAAGGGTTGGTGTATTGTATAGTTCATTAATCATACTGTCTTTTTCAGATGCTTCTCGAGCTTCCTGTGCATGATCTAGCGGCCGGTTCCAAGCAGCTACTGGAGAAATCCGACAACAGGAGTGGTTTGTCGGCAAGCTCATCAGCACATTTGAAGAAGACATTGAGGCTTCGTGAGAACGGGCGTCATTTGTTGCTTGGAAGAAATGGTTGTGGGAAGACGACACTGTTGCGTGCTATCGTCTCTGGTGAATTGCAAGGCTGGCCACAGTCACTCACCACGTATTTGGTTGACCAAGAGTTGAGCATGGACTTGTTTGTGTCACCACTCGAGACTGTTCTGAGGGCTGACCACCGTCTTTATTCCTTGCAGAAAGAGCTGAAGCAGTTGGAAGAGATTTGCACTGACCAAAGTGACCAAGCAGACAAAGCATCAAACAGACTGGGCGAAATCTACGCGGAATTGAACGACTCAGGAGCTGAAAGTGAACCTGAGTGGAGGACCCGCGCAATGTCTTTGCTCAAAGGTCTGGGGTTTCAAGAGGCGCAATGTACTGAGCCAATAGATCAGATCAGTGGGGGTTGGAGGGTGCGTGTTGCAATTGCTGCTGCACTGTTTGTACGACCGCGGTTGCTCATGTTGGACGAGCCGACAAATCATTTGGATTTGGGAGCGATTGAATGGCTGCAGCAACATTTGGTTGATGAGTACAAAGGCACTGTGCTTTGCGTTTCGCACGATCGAGAGTTTATCAATGAAGTCTGCACAGACATCATAGTGTTTGCTGATCAGGCTTTGACGTACTTTCATGGAACATTAGACATGTTTGAGGAGGCTGCAATGGAGAAGGCTCGGCACATGGAGCGCGAGGCTGCAGCTATAGAAAGAAAGCGGGATTCCATTCTTCAGACAATTCAACATAAGGAGCAACAAGTTGCCAGCGCACAAAAGAACAAGGCAAAAAACAAGTCTAAGAACAAATATGCAATATTGCATGACGCAGAAAGCAAGGGCACCTCAAGTTTGGTGAGCTGCCAGCAACAAAAGCTGGAGCGCCTGGGAATGGAAAAAACGGAAGATGGGAAACGGTTCAAGAGCTCTGAGCATGGAAATCGTGCTGGATCGATGGCAGACAATGAGGGTGGCTGGGTCGATGGAAAGATGACGGCCGCACCTTTGCTGCACGTGCAAGATCCATCGTTGAGGTTTGGCTTTGTCACGGGTCATGGTGCTCGAGTTGCCAATGGCACTTCACTGTTGCAGGTCAAAGCTGCTACCTTTAAGTACCCCAACAGTCAGGAGTCATCATTGAACGAGGTGGATTTGTCGGTATCGGCAGGAGACATTGTGGATTTGTTTACATGTATTTTGCACAAGTGGCAGTTCGACTCTTTGATTGTTCAGTCAATGAGTCAAACACCATTAGACACTGGCGTTGACCCGTACAGCAATTGCAAGGCTACCCACAAAAGGTTGATGTATTGCATGTGCCAAAAGTTTGGGCACACATGACAAACAGAAACGCTCCACTGGGTTTTCACGACAGGCTTTCGAATGGGCCATCTTTAGAACTCTGACAAGGGGTCTCAGCTTCCCTCCTTGGCCATCTCATCCACGGCTTTCAAATTCGATGTGTCCTTCGGCACAGCGTGGCTGCAACTCTGTAGCATGTTCAATTGTGCTGCGGCAGGAGGATATCGCTTACTGATTCATCACACTTCAAAACGCTACGTGGTGCAGCAACAGTCAGCACTTCCCACTTATGAACACCAACCACCGACCCTTGGTGAAGTGGTCAACACTTCACTCACAGTAAGAGCCCGGCACATCACTAGTGGCGCGAACCACCAGCAATGCAAGCACTTTCGCCAGCGGTGAAAATATGCCACTCTACCAAGGGGGTTGAACAAGCAAGATCACCAAAAAGAATCCACACAACGACATTCGCATACTGTCACATCATACTGTAAATACATTAGCCCTATACTCAAGGGCAGCTATTTATATTATATACAAGCCGCCACGAATCGTTCGCACATGTTGGGTTACACAAGCAAGATCATCGTAGATGTATTAATATGTAGTTGTATGGTTATTATGGTTCAATCATGATCCTAGACGGTCTCTCTTCCCATCCCTGATACTTGTGAGGAGACCGCATTGCCATTCAAGGTCGCAATGGAGCTGGCAAGTCCACCCTGGTCAAACTGATTACTGGTGAAGTGGAAGCCACAGAGGGAGATGTTTGGCGGCATCCGAGTCTGAAGGTCTCAGTTTTGCATCAACATGACACTGATGCCCTCGCTCATACTAGCGCATCTCCAGTGGAATGGCTGGCAGAGCTGTATCCCAAGAAAAAGGAATTGGACCTTCGAAAGCAATTGGGTTCTTTTGGAGTGACAGGTGACCTTGTGTTTCAGCCCCTTAAGACTTTGTCAGGGGGTCAACGAATGCGAGTTCTTTTCACCAAAATATGTATGGAGCTTCCGCAGCTGCTCGTCCTCGATGAGCCAACCAATCATTTGGACATTTACTCCATTGATGCTCTATGTGTCGCGCTGACCGAGTTTCGTGGTGCAGTTCTCCTCATCAGTCACAATCGTGATCTCTTGCGAAAGGTTGCTAAAGAGCTCTATGTGATCTCGAAAAGCACCCGAAAGCTGTCCTTAGTCAGCCGCGCATTGCCAGATGGTCCGCCTTTGGAGATCCCTTCCGTTGCTGACATGTCGCCGCGTAAAGCGGAGGCGACGCAGGAGAAGCCAAAGGGCAAATTTGAACCACCCAAGAGGAGTGCGGAGAAGAGTCCAGAGAAGTCTCACGCGGAGACAGAACAAAAGCCAGTGCAGGCACCTCCATGGCTGCGACAGTTTCGCCGTTGAAGCCCAAACTTTTGCACACCAGCGCGAAGAGAAGCAACTCTTGACTTGATGCTCAGTGTACAGTCAACGAGCGCAAGACGCGGCAGGTGGGATGGTCTTGAACGGAGCACATGCAAAAGAGTGCCGATTTCAGGGGAGCGTCATAGCTTTAAGGTATGTGCCCTTGTTGATTGACACCTTCTCTATCCTTGTCTATTACAAGCACATTGCTCGCCTTAGAGAACTACCTCTCTACAATTCTTATCAATTCTTGTTAGGATGCTTTGTCTGTTGAAATGACTTGAAGTCAGTCTTTGTTTATGAAACTTTTTTTGGGTTTCCAGTCTGTGTGGTGGGTTATTGGCAGGGGTGCATTGCATGTTGATTGTTGTTTGAGACACAATTACAAGCCATAATTGAATGTTGTTTCAATCATTACATTTGAGATTTGGTATCTTCGCTCTATAGAACTCTTAGCGCTCGCAACGAACCCCTGTCCCTGTCCCCGCACTATACCGTTTAGGTTCAGGAGATTGAGCCCGTTCCGCGCCTCTCAAGATTGAACACATGTCACTTAGGGCGACTTAGGGTATGCTTCGTAGTGACAACTCCCTTTCCGCAGGGTAAGGAGAGCGACAGCTTCCTGTCGCTTTGCTGCACAAGCTTAGCGGTTTGGTGTTTGGAAATGTGCTCATGTTGATTGGAGGATTGTATGTGTATATATATACATCAATAGAGAGATATATATATATATACATGGTTCTTGGTTTTGTGAGGAGATGGCATCCTGAGTTTCAGAACGTCAGCAAGAACTACATCGTCGATGGACAGTCGCTATCCCTGAATTGCATGTAGAGGCGTTACAAGGTACAGATCACATGCAGCAGATATTGTCCGTGGCAGGACGCCCCCTGCCCTGTGCACTTGGTCAATGATGGAAGCTCGAAGTGACAAAGGTCGCTGCGCGTGCCCAGCGATGGCCTTGTAGTGTGTGGGTGTGAATGATGCTTCAAAATCTATGTTTCACTTGTGGCATGGTAAAGTTGAATTGGACTGGTTTGAAAATAGTCCTTTGGCCTTTGGCGCTTTCTTGGTGATACAGTAACATCAGTAACTATGACAGTTGTCAGATATCTGATTGACGCCCATGGAAGCTTGCAAACTTGCTCGAGGTCTTCAACGACATCCTCCCAAGAAAAGGTGTTGCGAAAGAGCAAAAAGAGGGGGGCGAGATGAGATCTGATTATCATTGGTTGTTGCATCTTTGTTCCATGGCTTCTTTAGATCCTATACATCTCTATACAGATACATAAATACATTGTTCTTTCGAGGCTCAATGTTCTGTTGTCGCAAGGAGTTGCATCAAACGATCTTGGCACACAACCACAATGCTGACCTGATAAAGCATCACAAGGCACAGGGCTTTTGAACTGTTGAGAGTTCCTTTTGAGCTGTTTGTGAACGTGCTTTTCACACCTGTCCACTGTCTATCATGACAACGTGACACGTCATGACATCAAATGAGATTGCAGGTGTTAAGGATCTGTGGTTCTCGTTCTTGTTTTTCTTGTTTTCAGACTTGGTTTACAGGACACGATCGATGCCCTCCGAGAGCGCTGCGGAAAGATGACAACCAGCTCGTCTAAGTCGAATGAGGCGGGTTGGACACGGTTCTACCTAGTATAGACACTACATCACCATTTTGGTGTAGGCGTAATGTTCAACACACCCGAACTTGACCACCATGAAACCATCAGCACGAAGCCCGGCGTTCAATGCACCTTTCAAACACACAAAGCAGCGGCCTTTGGTGTTCCAGTGAACTTGCCATGTAGTGTACCAACATGTACCAGCAACTCCAGAGTTCTAGAGAGCCACATCCCAAATGGATCTACGATGCCTCTCAGTGCAACAGAGACTGCTTCAGCAGTGATACTTTTTTGTTTAAGTGTCACGTTTGATCGATTGTCAAACTCCATCGTCTCAGTTGCAGCGGAGACCAAAGCAGCACCATTTCGCCGCGCTATTCCATTATATAGCACCAGAAATGACAATCATCACAGTAGTTCGATAGTCACATATGATCAAAGAAAGCAGTTGTGCAATCCTTTGCTAGCCTCCACAGAGGACGTGCCCAAATCATCCCAAATCATTTGTGTATATATATATAATTGTGAATCGTGTGTTCCGTTACGGAGGTCAAAACCGCACTAATCAAGAAGTGTACCAAATACTGTGAACGAAGGCCCCTCAAGTCGGGCTGGGCTGGGACCCTGCGGTGCTGTCAAAATGATCGCTTTGTTCCGTCTACAACCATAACCTCCAGCTCATCCTGTTCCTCGCAGTGCTGGAAGTGAAGATGCGGACGCCTCACCGGGCTACATTACATGGTCCTCGAGGACGAGGTGGTTTGATAGTGATGAGTTTCGCGAGTTCCTACGAGAGCGTCGGTAACGACAACCTGGACGTGATTGTGGAGGAGATCAGTTGGAGGTTAACAGATCTACTGCAGATGGCCACAGGAATTTCTCTAAACAATCAAGAAGCAAGTGGGGAACAATATCGAACTGGCACCTATGAGGTCCTATCAGCAGAAAAGTCACAAGAAGTAAGAGGAGCTGGACACAACATCCTTCGGTCCCGCTTTGTCCTGGTGCAGACAAGGATTGAGCCGGACGACATCCCCGCGATCAAAGATGAAGGCCTCTTGGAGAAGATGAACATGGTGGGCTCAAAGCAAAAGCAAGACATGCGATGAAAGGACTCAGTGAACCAGATTCCGAATTGTTAGAAGCGGCAACACCACAGGTATCGCCGGACACCGTCCTGTTGATTCTCCAAACGATCGGATCCAAAAGATGGACCCCAGGATACCTGGACTTCACTCAGGCATTTCACAGTGGAGATCACATTTCACGTTCCAGTTTGCAGAACTACCAGCAGAAGGAATGCCTGGAGTACAAGAAGAACCCCTATGAATTGCTAGATGGACCTTTGCAATGGTATGCTCACCTGCAGCGAACACTACGGGAGTTGGGATATGAATAACCATAGCCAGATCCAGCGAGGACCCACAAACGAATGAAAGACGAGAAACTAGAAGGAATCATTGCGGTTGCTACAGACGACCTGTTGCATGGAGGAGGCCCCAGGCACTGGCAAATGATGAAATGGATACAGGGGCGCTACAAGCTCGGCAAGTGGAGACGGACGATTCGTCGGCAAGGAGATCGCATGTTTGCCCCATGGGAAGATCAAAGGCCACCAGCAGATGTACGTGAAGGAGAAGATCAAAATCACCAAGATCTCAAAAGAAAGAAAACAAGAAAAGCATAACCTCTGCACGGGCGAGGAGATAGCCGCACTAAGGGCATCGCTGGGGTCTTTAGCATAGTTGGCAAAGGAGACACGTCCAGATGTGTCCGAGACCTACTAGAAGATAACGCTCTAGCTCAAGAAGGGCTGGAAGGAGTGAATGCAGGAATCATCATTGCCCCGAATGAGTTCTACAAGATCCGAATCGGGTCAGCCTCTGATGCGAGTTGGGAAAGTCACCACGCCAAGAACTGGAGCAACGTACTGAAGAATTCTGGGAAGAACGAGGAGATCTATGGATAAGACATCATGTTCAACCTCGACACCTGATGTTCCATCCAGGAGCGGCGTACGGAGGACCACAACTTCATGATCTAGAGGCCGAAAGAGCTACCTGGATTGATGAGAGCTTGTCGACGAGGACACATGGAATCGAAGACAAGATGTTCGACAACAATGGATGGGACACACAGTCTTCATGAAACAGACCTCGAAGACCAAGATCGAGATCCATGAGAAGTTCCTCCAGGTTGGAAGAACGCATGGCCAAGGAAGAGACATTGTGTTTGCCCATGACAAGGACCTTGAAGTGGAACAATGTCCACAACCCATCTCCATGCTGGGCAAGCTCAAGAGATGCACTGTAAACACCTTGGCAGCAGAAGCTCAAGCAAGGATACAAGGAGTCGGAGCTTCCTACTGATTGAGATTCATGCTATCAGAAATTAAAGGACTTCGGATGACCTTGAACAACTGGCAGGAAGGGGTCAGCAGGACACCATTTGTCGCGGCTACAGGCTCAAGGTCTTCTTTTGACAACCTGAGCAAGTCAACGAATGTGGCGGCACACATTGATGACAAGCAGGCCGCCATAGACCTGACGATCCTGAAGAATGACCTTCAGACCACCAGAGGACAGCTGCGCTGGGTTTCAGGGGATATCATGATCTCGGGTTCTCTCACCAAAAAGGGTCACGCTAGGTTTTTGAGAAAGAGCATGTGAAAAGCATGTTGGACCTCATTCGAGATTGGAGCTAAAATGCTCAAAGGTTTCGACCAAAAGAAAAGCGGGGCGATGTGAATCGTGTGTGCTGTTGGTGGAAACGGCACTAATCGAGAAGTGTACCCAACACTGTGAACGACGGCCCAGGTCGGGCTGAGACCCTGCGGTGCGGTCAAAATGATCACCTTGTTCCGTCTACAATAATATCAAGTACGAATTAGGGATGTGTAATATGATATGTCTTGTGACCATGGGTTTGATGGAGTGGAGAGCTAGCAGAGCTAGCAGGGGCATCCAAACGCTGAAACTCCATTGTCGGAAACTCCGCGCGCCAGATCCAGCAACAGCTAAGACAGTTGGATGCGAGGCTCAAGCAGCAGCAGCCCCTTGGAAACCAAACAGCGTTCTTCAGCAAGTGCACGGTTTCCATCCTTTGTCCGTTTTGTAAGGCCAGTAGCGGAGTGTAGACGCAGAGCGACTTATTACCTGGTAGTTTCTTAGGCGCCAGGATGTAGGCTGAGGTTCAGGCTCTAATATATATATATATAATGATTTGGTTCCTACACATGTAAGGAAACGTGATATAACAGAACAGTGGTCCACCTTGATGATCTTGCTCTCCAAGAGGATGCAAAAGACAAGAAATTTCCTTTTTGGATGGCACCACTAAGGAAGCAGAGGAAGTTGGAGCCATTGTTCGAGAGGCGCGCCATTCACATTAACATAGAACGTTTAGATGCAATGGTCACACATACAGATGACGACCGTGGTGGACAAAGACGGAGAATGATACTGAATAATTTTGTTCGAAGAAACTCCGAGTAGAGACATTTGAGTGGAGATCTTGGCGGTTAAGCTTTTGATATCTTACAATACACTAGGGGTGGGGGGCCATCGCCAAGACTCGATATGAGGTTGAACGCGTTGGAGCTTCGCGTGGCTACTGGCAGCTCCGCTCAGGAGTGCACATGCAGAATGCCTCATCCATACTTGTCCATGCAAGCTTGAGCATCCATGCATTATGCATATAGATGCTACAGCTACAGAATTCTGAACAGGGCGGCTGGATCCGCCCTACAACATCAATCATCTTAAACCGCGGGTAGATAGACACATGACATAGACGAGTAACAGCAAACGTATATCTTAGAGTGTTAGAGCTACAAATCACCATGGTTCTTCATTTCACCAGGCTAGGATTTTGTTGAGAGCGCAGGCATGGGGTGCTGCTAGCTATCCACGTCCTGCAGCTCACGCCTCAGCATGGACTTGACGTCCAGAATTAAATGTATTGAATGCAGTGTGGTGAGTTTCTGAATAGTGTTTCTCGAATTCTGGGTGACAAGAAGCTACTAGTAACAAGTGCATCGCTACTAGTAACAAGGGCATTGCTAGTAAAACACCAATGCCATGATCGAAATTTGTCACAGCAAGTTGTAGGTCGTTGCAGGGGCGATGTGGCGTGCTGAGGCCCCTACGACGCCAAGCTTGCCACGTGGCATTGGTGCTCCACCGGGCATTGAGGCGCAAACAAATATAGAAACTGACGTGGTATCGAACATATAGAATGCTCTGACATCTCTGGTATAGAATGGGTGTTGAAACCTAACAAGATTTGTTGTGCCTATTTGGTCAAGTCCTGTGCTCCTGTTTTGCCACAAGTCATGTCCTACGGTAAAATTCTGACTACCCTGCCATGATCCTTTGCAACATTGATGTGATCGGATTCCTGATGATTCCTGATTTGGGTTCCAACATGTTCCAGCACAAGGTCTTTGTAAGCAGCGTTTGTTTTGAACTGCATCAGCATCAGCATGGTGTCCAGAGTCGGTTTGTGCTTTGTTGTTCGCACCCAATCAACTTGTCAGCCTTTGGCACCAAAACTCCACACTCCCATGGACCAGTGGCAAGCTGTTGCTGAAATAATCTTGAGAATAGGACCACATCATACCACATCACCATCCCAATCAGATGCTGTATACTTTTGAATAAACTACAATATGTAGCCAGCATACGCCACAGCTCAAGCACCTGCTCCAGCGGCCATGGGCACCAGTTCGATGACCCAAGCTAAGCCATGCAGTGCAGTGCAATGCATACACATCCGCATCTCGCACATCAGGTTGAGAGCGTTGGGCATAAGCAATCGCTGGCGCACCATCCCTCCTTTTCCTGTGTTGTCCGCTAATGCCTGTTCTGTTCCATACCTCTTGGGTTTTCAGACTGAGGCTGCTCAACGTCCGCTCGTTTGCGGTGTTGGTCCGTGTTGGTCCGGCAATCATTACTTACTACCAAGACTTTGCAACATATAGGTGTGCATTGTATGATGTCACAATGTTGGAAGACAATCTAATCATAATCTCATCAAGTGTGTGAATCGGGTGCAGATGCAGAAGGTTATAGCCCAAGGACAATTCCATGCAAACCGCGGTTCAGAGCAGATTTGCTCGCGCTTCTGAACTTCAGTGCTCCTCACAAAAGGATCCAACGCAAATCTTCCTAGAACACAGCGCCTTCGTGAATGGCTTTGATAGTTGCCTTCAGGTGCAGGCAGTTGCGCCTGGTTTGAAGTCGGGCCCAAAGGCAAGCAAAGTGTGTCTTTTTTTTTTTCTGAGTTGTAGCTGTTGCCCACCAGAGCATTCCTGGTGGCAGGCAGCAGCTGGAGCAGTCTCACCCGTGGCAGAGGAGTCGGAGGAGGTGGGACCACGGTTTCATGGTTTGGATCTTTGGGTCTCTTTTTTGGGTGATCATGACAATGCAGGAGCAGTTACTCAACTTGGGAGATAGATACCACCGCGATGTCCACAGCCAACGTTGTGTATCCTTGGTTCCGCTGCTAGTTGTAGTTCAGTTCGGAGGTCAGGTTTGTTGAGGTAGCGGTCAGTGCCAGCCTTGGGCGCCCTTGGGTTTCTTGGCAAAAACCAACGTGCTATTTGCAAACTGCAAATGTTCTCCAGTGATAGTTCAAGAAATTGCTGGCTTGAGAAAGTGAATTGTTGAGTCCTGACAATGCTAAAGAGCTTTCCTGACACCTCCAAGCATATGGTCTGTATGGTGCTCCGGCCTGCTTCGCATTTGGCATCACAGAATTGAAATGATGCACGTTTTGAGGAAGACAACTGTTGATCCAAACCCTTTACGTAACGTAGCCCTGCCTTTTTGCAACATGTTGCAACGGCAATGTTGCTTGCGAGGCCTAACGGTGTGAGAGGATACATAGCAGACCTTGCCAGAAGATCAATGCCTGAGCTTGTGGAGATGTCAATGAATGTCAATGAAGTCTTCGTCCAATAGGGGCAAATTTGAGATTCTTCAGCTCAGCATGGCTGGCAAGGATGCAGGACACTAAAGTAGGTATGATGATGGTCTCTCTTGATTCTTGTCAAGTCAAAACTTCACAAAAAAAGATTGAGTAGAAGTTTGGCCTAAAGCCTGCTCTTCTAGGGTCAAGTATGCGACAAGACAAAGTGCTCGAAAGAAGACGATAATATCTTGAGCACGTATCTTCAGTACAGAAGCTGGCAGTGAACTGCCGTTGGCTGGGCAGGTCTCTATGAGACGTATGCGTCGATGTTACAACCCCATACGGACCAGGCAATATACACTCCATGAAGCCCTGTTGCACGCGCAGGGTTGATTGGATGATCATTGGTGTCCGCCAGATTCCTGATGAATGTACATAGCACAAAAATGCATGGAATATTATATATATACATGGTTAGTACACGCAGAGAGACTCACGGGAACCAGGGTTGCTGGCTTTTTTCCCATGGCCTGGTGCTTCACAAGGGGTATATCCTGCAAGCCCTTGAAAGTGCTTGCTGTATGTGTGAGGAAATCGCCTTGAGCTTTGGACAAACCGCGTTTCATAATGTTTGGCTGTTGATAGAAGTCTTCTCACCTTTGTCTCCGCTGAGACAGAGAAGCAAATCAACAAGCCAAGCAAGCTCGAGGCCATGCATAGGCATGACCAAGCAACATCACGTTGCGTTTGGGCGAACCGATCAACAACGCCAGTAGCGCACTACAACCAACCCTACCTACACGCAGGTTTGTCAGGAAATTCTCTTCGCCCAAGCAACATTCCTTTCCATAGCCTGTGGTCCACTAAAAGGGCCACAGGAATATGTGCACGCATCCATTTTGTAGCGAGCTCAGCCAGCGTCCTTCTTGTTACCATGGATACAAAGTCAACCTCCACAGGTCCTTGTTGTCACTAAGCAAAGTGATGCATAGTGACCAAGGTACACCATGACCAGACTGCAGCCTCAACAAATTAAGCTGCCGGCAACTCAAACTAACCTGCTTTGCCTTGAGTTGGAATTAAGGAACCGTCAAACAGATAGGTGTCTTAGTCTTTGAAGGCTGCTGTGTGTATGTATTGTGCAAGTTTCGGGAAATATACTGTAGATTCCAGAATCACCGAACATGTTGCAATAAGCCAGTGTTTTTGCCACTATATGGGGTTTCTGAAATGGGCCTTGGAATTGGATTGTCACATTGATTGACAGACACGTGCCGCCGTGAAGCCTCCGAGTGTGAGCTGCGAGCCTGTTGCTAGAAGATGTTGAATGCAATGGCAACTGCATTGATGTTCATTATGTAAGGCTTTGTGTATGCAATGTGATGGGTTTACTTATTGGTAGAGGACCCTACTGTCAGACCTTCCATGCAAGCAGCCAATGTTGCCCATTGCGCCTCGATGAAACCGATGAGACACGTGAAGATGAAAAGCAAAGAGCTCTGACAAGATCATGAAGGACGGTGACTTCGCCACGACATCAGATTCAGATGAGGTGCCCAGATTGCACAAGGATTTTCAACCGGGCACATGTCATGCCAACTGGCCAAACAGGCATCAACTTCCTTTACAATCGGCCAGGGCATGCATGAGACACCCTGATGCGAGACAGAGTGGTTTTCATAAGGTGTTCATGTTCATGACAAAAAAGAGATCCGCCCGCACTGACGGTGCTGGGGCGTGTGTGTGTATCCGGATAGCATAGTTAATCGCAAGATTTTAGCTTTAGCTGGTGAAAAATAGCAAGGTAGAACTGGCATAAACAAACACCAGCGGCTTCATGGTACGGCTCTAGCTGGCTAGGGAGTCGCTTTAGCCAGGTAGAACCGGGACGGTGGGAATCGATGTATTTCATTTTATATTTATATATATAGTATAGCACTCAGAGCATTTTGTTGAAAAGCAGTTTGTCACAAAAAACAGCTGCAAATCGGCAGAGCAGCAAGCAGCAGCAAGCAACCAGAAGCCAGCAGCAGCAGGCGGCAACAGCAGCAGCAGCAGCAGCAGCAGCAAAGCAGACCACCAAGCCAGAAGCAGCAACACCGGCAAGGATCCGCACGCAAGCTCTTCCCATGATCAAGGTCAAGCTGAGTAGAACCCTGACCATAGTTTTGTCTCTGAGTCATATGGTTCGATGCAGGGCTTCCCAAGCACCCAACGGTTTCAATGATGGAAACAATCAGACATTTCTCCCAGTGCGGGGCAGACCCAGCCGCGTAGCGGCGCGAATACGACATAATGTCAACACCTTCGTTAAGCATTTCGACTGTGCAAAGGGTTCAAAAAGATGTTGGTCCGACGCTTTGAAGGGATCAAATTGGACACATCGACAATTTTCTCCGAGGCTTTTGGAACGAGATTTTCCCCCGATTGGCCAACAGCAGCTGCCGAACTTGTACTTCTGGTGCTGCTTGTTCTGGGAGTGCTCCTTTTGTTTGCAGGCAGGAAGTGCATCGCACGCTTGAGATGATGCAGCATTGCACGTGTCAAGATAGAGGCATGGGGCATTCAGAGACAGCTAAAACCACGTATGGGATTGTATGTGCATCAGAAGTACTCTACAAAGCAGGAGCGAATTGATTAATATTGATCCTACTTGTAGGTCCTTCCAGGTGTCGGTGTGGCGATTGTGAAGATTGAATACACTGATCTTGAGGTTTGGGATTCTGGACTGTGCACCCACCAGGCGAGTCAGAACTCTGCCAGGTCGAGACACTAGGCGCGGCAGAGATGGAGTTTTGAGGACGTTGGAGCTGGTTTCTTTGCGTGAAAGCACTGAAGATGTGTTTGTTCCTCTTTTTCCGTGCTTCTTGATGTCCATAATTTTCTTGAATCTCTCTTGAAGGCCTCCAAAACCTCACAGTGTCGCGGCAGAGATCTGACCTGGCAGCCTGCCATACACTATACGCTGTGGCATTTCGTGCATTAGGAGCAGCATGAGATAGTAGGCGGCAAGGCTAGCAGAGAGTGGAATCGAAAAGACTGGAATTGTGAATGTACTGGTAGAGTCGTTTGTCTCTACAAAGACTTATGTGCATGTGCAACTCACCAGAAAGACGGGCTTCAGTCAGGCCTTGACACAATGACAGAGAGAGTGCACACTGGCTGCCTGAGTGTTTACAGGAGCAATTTCGATGCCATTCCTCTTGTGTGGTACCATGGCACTTTTGGTTGCAGCTGTGATGTTAAAGGGGCTGAAACGGCCAAAGCCTGATTTCCGGAGGACAGGCCTGCTTAGGAATTCTGCCAATGACCAGATGCTTGATCTACCCGGCAAAAGCATCAAAGATGCCCAGGAATGCCTGTGTTTTTGTGACTCCAGATGTGAGAAGCTTTGTACCTTTGCAGCTCACTCTTCATAATGTGGACAACAATTGACGGCGAGGAGCTTGATGTGTGTTGCACTGTTGGAAGTACTTGGAGCTGCCGCCTGGCATGAACTTCCCGTGTTTCAGTTATTATAGTGTAAATAAACCGCAACGCTGAAAGCTTTTGCAAATTCGAGCAGGTCATTGTGTGGCTTCCATCTTGGTTGTTTCCAAGCATCTCCCTTGCCGTTGCAGCTGGCCTAGCGCCGATCCATGCCTATTTCATCAGCAGCTTGTCTTCTTGGGGCAACTGCAACAACCTTTCGCGGTGAACTACACTCTGTTAAGACTCTGTTATACTTGTTAGAGCCCATGGCTGGTTTGTCTTTGGAACTTGGTTGTTGTATCCATAATTTCACTATATACATTTTACTGGATGGCCAGATGTGTAATATGAACTAAGGCATTACGGTTGGACATCTTGCATCTTATCTGAGAGAGCTCGATAGTCGGCTCAAAAGTACATGTGCTCTTTGTGCGTTTGTGTGGTGGCGGCCATAGCTCACTTGTGCACCTAGATTTAGGCCATATCTGTCTCTGGGGCAGAATCTGGAGCTTCAGCAACAAGCAAAGCCGAGACTTTTCGGCAAGAAGCCGATGTTGTGAGTATTCAAAAAAGGGAGTTTTGAGGTGGCTAAGGTTTGTAGACAAGGTCAAATTCTATATATATATATATATATGTGAGCACCCGGTTCTTGCACATGACACGTACATGCCCCTTTTTACCTTCAGCGGTGGGGCTCGAGCATGCAGCCAAAAGGTGGCGCTACTTTGGTAGTGGTGTGTCCCTAGGTGGGGCGGTGTTGGCCTTGGGATAGGCCGATTGCATGGTAGGCGGAGCGGCTGGCTTCGATCCTGCTGCGGTGGCTGCTGCTGGCGGCTTTGGAGAAGGCAGTCATGCCTTCTGAGGAGGTCCCGACATGGGACGGGGACCCTGCTGGGTTCGAAGGCTTCGCCACCTCGTGCCGGTGGTACGAAGCGAGTCTCAAAGACTCAGAGCGGAAGCTGGCGGCGCCTCGGGTTTGGCAGCGGCTGGGCGGAGCAGCGAAGAGCGTGGTCCGGCACCTGGATCCGACCTCCTTCACCACGGAGGGCGCCATGGGCAAGCTGCTGAGTGTCCTTCGGGACAGCCCACTACAAAAGCTTCCAGTTCCGGACTCCTTCAACCGACTGGAGAAATGGACGGGTCTGAGAAGAGCGGCCTCCGAGAGCATTCCACAACTGCTGGTGAGAGAAGAAGAACTGTTTGTTGAACTTCAACAAGCGCTTCAACGAGCAAGAGCTGAACGGTTGAAGCATGAGGTGCGCTCCATGGCAGTTGGTGCGGATGAGCGAGACCCTCCAACTTCTCCTACGAGATCTCCGAATGTTGGTGGAGCCTTCCGGACAGGTGGTGACGCTGATGAAGCTCAAGAGCAACGACAAGGTGATCCTGGTCCTCCGACCCTCGACAATGCTGGTTTCTTTGAGAACGAACTCAGAGGCTACCGATTGTTGAAGGCTTCGAAGTTGAGCGCAGCGGAGAAACAACATGTCATGACGCTCACCAGGAACAGCACCCACTTCCAGCTGATCCGCAATGCACTGAGGTCTCTTTTTGCTGACGGAGCTGATGGCGGTGATGATGCTGGAGGACGCCTGGCGAGGAGAACTGTTTGGTTCGCCGAGGATCCATCATGGGATCAATGGGAGGATGACTGGTGAGCTGATGACACCACTTGGGGAAGCGAAGAAGCCTACTGGGGTAGCGACTGGTCTCCCTCTTCGGCATGGGACTATGTCGACGACGAGGGCGACTACATGATTGGTGATGATGGCCTACCTCATGGAGAAGAAGAAGGCTATGAGGCGACACCAGAAGAGACTGAAGGTGAGAAAAGGCTTGAAGAGGCCTACACCATTGCAGCTGAAGCGAATAAGACCCTTGCTGAGGCCAAACAGGCAGTGGCTCAAGTTCGTGCGGCTCGAGGCTACTACAACCCGGTGGGCATGAAGGGGAACCCCACTGGCAAGGGCAAGGGCAAGGGCAAGTCAAGATCCCCCTTTGGGAAAGGCAAGGGCAATGGTGGCACTTCCTATGGTCCCTGCGTCCGATGCCCTGACCGTTGGTCGAAAGGTTCATCGAAAGGGTCTGCCTCGTCATCCCTGAAAGGATCATCCACGGGGAGTTCAATTTCCATGGCAAAGGTCGCAAGGGCAAGGTTTATTGGGTGGACTTCGGCCAGGAGTATGACATGTACGAGGTCAATGTTCTGAGTTTGGCAGACGAGACCATATCGGGGAACATGTCCATGTCCAAGGTGGTGATCGACACAGGCGCCACCGAATCGGTGTCAGGAGTTCGGGCAATGGCCAGGTTGATCGATTCCCTTTGGTTTCCCTACGACATCACCATCGACCAGCGACCGCGTTTCCGTTTTGGGAACGGTGAGTACCAGAGAGCCACCTCCCACTGTATGTTGACGACAGCGGCCCTATGACGAGTTGGTTTCTTCTTGCTTGATGGTGGTGCGGAAGACGATGAGGTCACGCAAGGCAGTCATCTCCTACCACGGGGACTACATTGCTCACCGAACAGCTGATGGAAAGTGGTGGGCAAATACGTTGCAGACCATTGGAGGTGGACATCTTGTGTTGGACCTGTCGGAACCCTGCATCCCGCTGCACCACCTGATCAGGAGGATCAACACCGACCCTCGAGTTGGCGGACATCCACCTGGAGGTGATGACGATGACGATGGTGATGAAGATGGCGGTGATGGAGATGGAACTTGTCGGAGGAAGAGAAAGAAGACCAGGGATCCTGGCAATGACATTGTGGCTGCTACTGCAAGGCATGCGACAAGGGAGGCAGCCACACGCGGCATTGCTCCAGTTCGACCGCCACCTATCACGCCCAATCCTGAGAGCGACTTTGAAGAAGAGAATTATACACCGTCTCAGTGGGCAACAGATTCTCCACACAATGAGATGATTTCGGCACTGACCAATTATGGTGCCCCTCCGAACCCTCATGGGGAAGCAAAGAACCCAGAGGAAACAAGGTGCGCAGTCGGAGTTCTTGCAGATCGTGTTCCAATTGACTTGGATGAAGGTGAGATTGGAGGCTCCGAGGTTCCTGAGGCAGTGTCAACTCTTGTGCGTGAAGTCATGATGATGTGATTGTTGAGACTGTTGGGAGCACTGTTGAGCATGCATTACCTGTTCCCACTATGCCTGCTTCACTCGATGCGCACGGACATGTCCTGCAGCATGAAGATTGTCAATCAGCCGTGGTCAATGAGCATTCAGTGTTGATGTTGTCTGGCATGTGGTGAACCGGAATCTTCCCTGTCCGACCGCCTCAGCAACCTGGCTCGAAGGCTCGACGATCTGCGAACCTCCATCCCTGTGGAGAATGAAGCCACGCCTACCGGCGACCGAGTTGGATCCGAGGCATACCGGATGGCCATGTCACGGACACCATGTTCCCGGCCCAGTTCGAGCCAACAAGACGGCGAGCTGGCAGACTTGCGGACATTGCGGCCTCCGACTCCGGTACACCAGTAAGGGATCTGGTACGGGCGACTATCGGGCCATTGGTCCTCCACCAGACCAGGTGGAACAGGCTCAGATGGAGTTGCAGGAGACCTTCAAGGCCCACGAGATCAACGAGAAGATCTTCAACGGGAAGCTCATGGAGATCCGTGGTCGCTCACTGGTGGAGACGAGGCAGGGGGCGAGCAACGGTGCAGGTCCGGCAGACGAGAAATTGGGAGAAGCCTTGATGGCCAGTTCGACCTGTCACCAAAGCCAGGGCCCGATGACACCATACCCGGGATCAAAAGAGATGAACCTCACGACCTCACCACGGAAGAGATCCCCGGAGAAGCCCTCGGCCAAGCCCGAGATCAAGACCGACCTGACCAAGGAGGAGATCAAAGAGAACGACCTGCAGAGTGTGAAGGCGATGAGCGTGAGCTCAAAAGTGTCCTCCTCAGTGGCGGTGGTCGACTCGAGCGAGGTCCAAGCGGCACGAGAACTGCTGGAGAAAGTGAGCAAGGGAGAGATCCTGCCCATCAAAACAGAGCCGGAGGAGAAGGCCCAGGAGGCCGAGTAATGGCATTGTGGGAGTCCTTGAAGAGTCTGCGAAGCCGGATGATGGCGGCTGAATCGACCGAGATGGTCGGACGCTCTGATCGGCTGGAGGCCACCGAGAGCGACAATCCTCTAATTTCCAACATGAGCCCAACACGTTCAACTACACCTGTTTTTGAGGAGTTTCCTCAACCACCAGACACTACGAGCACTACGAACCACGTCTGTGCCACTTGCTCGATGAGCTCTATGGCAAGGATTTTTCCAGGCGAGGCGGCCTACGACCGTACCTCATGCATGTTGAGCTCTGTGACAAGATCTTCTTCGATGACTACACCATCACCTTCACTGGAGAGGGAGATTGCCGAGACGAACCACATGGTGAAGAAGACAGTGCGGCCATCCTTGGCAAAGAGATTGGCGGTGGCTGCAGCGCTCTCTCTTACGGTGATGGAGCCGGTGAAGGAGTTGATGCAGACGGTCGGCCCTGCGGTGGACATCATGGAGATCGCTTGTTCGCCAGAGTCAACCCTGACAGGCATCTTCGAGAAGTCCGGCTATCAAGGAGAGAGGATCAACTTCAAGACGGGCTACGACCTTGACACTCGCAGTGGCACGGTGGGTCGCAGAATCCAGATCTGTGTTCCCAAGCTAGCATGGGTCTCATACAGGTGCACCAGAGTCTCCAACTTGCAGAACCTCACGGAGAGAACACCTCAGCAATGGGACATCTTCCTGAAGCGACGTGGACGAGATCTACAACGTTGTGATGAGATAGTGAAGAACCTGGAGCGGTCATCGCCTCCGGGAATGATGTCGCTTGGGAGTGGCCCACCTCGGCGCATGAGGGCTGGAGATCCAGACCAATCCGTCGGCTGGTGCAGATGATGAGACGCCATGGGAGAACTCCATACTGGGTACGCATTGATGGATGTGCATATGGACTCCGCTGGCAAGAACAACCTGTCCTCAAACCATGGGCAATACTCACAACGTCGAGGAGTTTGTGGCTGACTCTGTGTCGAAGATGCGACAGATCGCATGAGCATGCAGAATGCCGAGGAATGGCAGCTCAGGCATCATCATATTACCCCTCGGCCATGTGCAAAGCTGTGCTGAAGGCAATGGAGCATGAATGGCGACAAGGGAAGGACAGCCTGGAGCGTCATGTGGAGGTCTACTTGCTTGAGAATGAGCAGGGAATGAACGGCACCTTGCTTGGACGATGTGATGAGGTTCGACCTGACGATCCTTTTGGTGAGACCACACTACCTCCGGGAGAAGACCAACAGCATGTTCTGGCACTGAGTCGAAAGAGGCTAGATCTTGGCACGGCGCCTACTGGAAAACGCTTGGAGGCAGTGAAGCAACTCATGCTCAGGGTGCATAGAGCTAGCGGCCATGCTGGCATGTCGAACCTGGTGCAGTTGCTCAAGGCCAGAGGATCTCCTGGATGGGCTCTTGAGCTTGCGGCAAACCTTGAGTGCCCTGAATGCAAAGAGGCTTCACAACCACGTCCTCGACCTCCAGCGAGCCTTGGCGAGATTCCACCAATCTATGAGCACGTCGGCACTGATGTCTTCGAGCACGAGGAGCCCTCCGGTGTCAAACACAAGCTGATCCTATGGCGAGACCGCGGTTCCGGTCTGACCATGATCGACCACTTGGCCCGCTATGAGACTGGCAGTTGGAACCCAACCACTCAACATGTGATCAAGTCTCTGTCGAAGTGGCTGATGGTCTATCCGATGCCTAAGTGGATCGTGGCAGACAGCGCACGATACTATACCAGTCAGGCCTTCATGGACTACCTGAACCGATCTGGAGTGGGACTGACCGTCGCCCCTGCCGAAGCTCACTGGTTAATGGGCTTTGAGGAGTCAGCAATTGGAGTGGCAAAGAAGACAGTGGATCGTCTGATCCGAGAAGGGAGCAACCTTGAGATTCCAGAGCTCTACATGATGGCAGCAGCGGCGATGAACAGCCATGTCGGCCCAAGTGGGTTCAGTGCCTATCAATGGGCTTTTGGATCCGGAGGTGGAGTTCTTGATGATCAACAGTTGCTGAAAGGGATTGACCCTCGAAGAGCAAGCGACCGCTTCAGCAAGCTGGCCAATGCCGTGGGCCGAAAGGCTGAACAGTACCGTCCTGGTCAACTGGTCATGGTCTGGAGACAGAGAGTTCGGCCTGGGAAGATCAAAGGAGCATGGACAGGACCTTTGCGGTTGGTTTTGATGGAAGGATCGACTGCATGGCTGGTTTCTGGAGCAACGCTCATTCGGGCCAAGGTGAACCAGATCAGGCCGACAAGTCAACGAGAGACCCTGGATGCGGCATTGGAGGGCACGGCAATTTACCGTGTTCCGGTGAGCTTGGAGTCACTCACGAGGAGCTTTCGCGGTCGATACTACATGGACATTTCAGGTGATGTTCCCAGCGAGGATCTACAACGTGGTGATCTCTCTGCATCCACGCCCTTGCTGGAGCCTGTGAAGCAGGAAAGGATTCCTGGAGTGTGAAGTGGCATGAGGGCAAGAGATACCTGATCCGACATCATGAATTACCACGATTAGCCTTGTTTAGTCCATCTCGGGTTGCCCAATGCCCAGTGAACTTAGAGGAGCTGCAGGGGAACAGAAAGACGATTGTTCGACCTCTACATGGTGGAGACGAAGTGACCTTGCACGACACAGTCGACGAGACACGGACACTGCAAGATCGCTGGAAGGGTGAGACCTGGTTCGAACTTGTCTCGGCATCCCCGGCGAAGAAGGCGCGTGTGAGAAGAGAGAAGGGTGAAAAGAGAAAGGCCGAAGCCGGAGAGCCTGATGGAGATGGAGCTGAAGGACAACCTGCTCCAGATGAAGAACCACCTGAACCTGGAGGACCTTCATCATCTACTACCACAGCATTGCAGAGAGCTCTTCGAGAGAAGGGACCAGAGATGGTGGACAGCATGCCAGTAAGAGGTGAGTCAGGCGCCAACCGGTGTCCAGTACCGGAATGTGATCTACACGGAGGACATCCGGGACATCACCAAGACCGTGATGGGAAGACTTTCATGTACGACCTCTACGAAGGGCGCCGAGCACCAACTGGAGCTGAGGTCCCAATCGATGACGCTTCACCGTCCTCTACCTCCTCAATCTCTGAGCCTGAGGACATGTCGTCTGGAGAAGAGGAGCTCATGGTGATGAAAGAGAACGAGAAACCTCCAGCGAAGAAGAAGAAAGAGAGTGCTTCGAAGCCTGAGGACACATTTCTGGTTTGTCACTTGGACATTGACGAAAAGGATTTTGACTGGCTGTCGAAGAACAAGGATCGCCGAAGAGGAGCGATCTGGCTGTCAAAGAAGATGTCCGAGAAGGGCAAAGAAGTCTTATGGGAGAAGCTTCCTCTGAGCGAGAAGCAGGAGTTTGACCTTGCAATGGCTAAAGAGCTCTCCCAGGTGGCCATCAGCAAAGCCTTGAGGAACCTGACCAAGCAGGAAGAGCTCCAGGTGAAACCGGAGCAGTTGATGAGGATGCGCTGGGTACTCACTCGGAAGAGTGATGGATCGGCAAAGGCGCGCTTGGTGGCGCTTGGCTTCATGGCGCACAATTTGACGGAAGTGGCCACTACTTCACCGACTATGTCCAAGGTCGGCCGCAACGTGATCCTCACCCTCGCCGCCGCCTATAGGTTCAAGCTCAAGGCCGGCGGCGTGACGAGCGCTTTCTTGCAGACGGGCATTAGTCTGGAGGATGAGGAGCTGAATGTCCTGGCACCGCCAGAGTTGAGCGCCATGTTTGGCTCGGAAGCGGGTGATCAACGAGTTCTCCGAGTACGAGAGGCCTTCTACGGGCTAGCGCACGCTCCGAGAAAGTGGTGGGAGCGATGTGTGCAAACCATGAAAGATGGGCAATGGCATCAGCTTCTTGGAGACAAATGTTGCTTTGCGTTGTTTGAGCCTGGCACTGGTGGCAACGGACAACCTCCGAAGCTAGTGGGTTTGGCAGGACTTCACGTGGATGACTTCCTACTAGCAGGAGACGAGACTTCAGAGTTCTTTGTGACCCGCGAGAAGCTGCTGAACCAGGCATTCCGATGGGGACGTTGGAATACTACCGACTTCGAATTTGCCGGGTCCACGATCAAGCAGAATGACGACGGCTCGATCATCTTGAACCAGGAGAGCTACACACTCAGATGGATCGAAGAGATTGAAGTGGACAAGAGTAAGGCAATGAAGACGCCCCTGACTCCTGCGGAGACTTCCTCGATGAGAGCGGCACTGGGAACGATCTCATGGCGATCAACCCAATCGGCACCACAGTTCCTAGCAGAGACTTCATTGCTGCTGAGTGAAGTCAACAAAGGAACCATCGAGTCACTGCATAAGGTCAACAAGCTGGTCCGCGAGATGCGCCGCGAGGCTGGACAAGGGCTCATTTTTCCAACTGGTTGGCAGTTCAAGGACATCACTGACCTGTGTGCGATTACATGGGCAGATGCGAGCCAACACAACAGGCCAGACAAGTCCAGCACTGTGGGCATCATCACCGGCATCACGGTGAAGGAAGCACTTGGAGGAGCAGAAACCCAGGTGGCAGTGGTGCAATTGAAGAGTGGCAAGACGCCACGACAATGCTTAGGCTCCAATGGGGCCGAGGTGCAGAGCATCACGATCGGGGAGGACCAGAACTACCAGATGAGAGCTTTGATGGCCGAGTTCGGTGGCTTGGAGCTGAAGAGGGCTGAGCTCCACGAGACCGTGAAAAGGGTCCCTGGAGCATTGGTCATGGATTCTCGAGGGATCTATGACGCGATGACCCGCAACCTCTTTGCCTTGCATGGTCTTCGCGACAGCCGAGCAGGATATGAACTGACTTTGGCAGTCAACCAGGCCTTGAAGGCCAAGACAGAACTTAGATGGGTGAATGGACTGGCCCAACTGGGCGATTCCCTCACCAAGAGCGGGGCCAGGAAGACCATTTTGCAATTCCTGAGCCAACGACAGCACTGGCGCCTGACCCATGATGACAAGTTCGAAGCTGGGCGCAAGGTGCACAAGAAGATCATGGAGCAGCGGCTGAGAGAGGCCCAGAATTTGTTTGTAGAGAAGTTGAAGGGGTTGGCCGAACGTTTCAACTGGCCATGGGACGCAGATGAACCTGCACCCCAGTACCCTTTACCTGAAGGGCCCAAAAAGGGTCACAGGATTTTGGGTGATGTGAGCACCCGGTTCTTGCACATGACACGTACATGCCCCTTTTTACCCTCAGCGGTGGGGCTCGAGCATGCAGCCAAAAGGTGGCGCTACTTTGGTAGTGGTGTGTCCCTAGGTGGGGCGGTGTTGGCCTTGGGATAGGCCGATTGCAATATATATATATATATGCAATCCGAACAGATCCACCTTTTGCATGCTAAGTTTCAAGCATCTCAAGAGCTGCCCAATGCAAATTCTCAGGCACATATCTACAAAGTACTGTATCAAGGATACTGTGCTGCTAGCCGCGTGGAGCTATGCTTGTCCGTTGGAGACCTGCTTGAATTGTCATGTTGGTGCCATAGGTTTTTCTGTCCCTCATTTCCAAAGCCATACTGAAGCGAAACCAGCCAAGCTAAAATGTTAGGAAGCATATCGCTGCTGCTCCTCTTCTGGTGCTTTGTAGCTTGGCCACACTTCTGCTCTTGTGTTTTACAAAAACACATTTCGGCCCAGATGTAGAGAGTGTTCAAAGCTGCCAAAAGGCTGTTGGCCCTGCTTTGGATGAGTAAAGTACATCCAGCTTCAGATGCCCTTGTACTATTTTAAGCTTTGCAGCAGCTCAATGCTGTCAGGTCCTGGATGTGTTTCGGATCATTGCATCTGTCAGCTGCTGGCAGCCCAAATTAGATGTTCAAGGTTCTCAGCTGTGGCAAATGTTTCAGCAATGGCGCGAAAGGTAAAAGCAGTCCGTTCCAAAGGATGGTGTTTTGAACTGGTGAGGCAGTTGTGTTTTGAATCAGTAAGAGGTTCCATTGAAGGCATTCAGGTCGCTGCATAGTTCTGTTGCTTGCCTTGCATCGATCTCTGTGATGATGCAACTGTTGTCCAAAGACCAGATGGAGTTTTGCCCAGGTGGCTACTGTGAGTGGATAAGCAACGGCAGCGTTTGCCCGCAAAGCAAAAAAGATTAGATGAACCTTTGGATCAGTTTGCTCTTGGCCAACGCCATTGTGCTTCGTGTCGCAAGGTATTGCAATGACAGGCGTTTTTTTGCGAAAAGATATCCCAAGGTATTGGAGCACGCTGAATGGTAACATGTTGTTCTTAAAGGCTGTCCACGCACAGATCTTGCATACTTGGAGTCGCTGCAGCTTTGAGCTGATCATCTCCGCGTTTGCAGCGTTTGCCGCCATGGGTGCTCCCAAGGGCAAAGGCAAAGGTGTAAAGGGCAAAGCTACCAAAGGCCGGGGAGAGTCCCGGCGGTAACACTGTCATGGAAGGTAGGGCCAAACGTGAAGAACCCATGCAGCGATCAAAGCCAGTTCTTATCCATTTGTTGGAGCCTGTGAGTTTTCTGAATGCTTGCCTGCGCGAGGCAAAGGTGGCAAGGCAGGGCTGGTGGCACACACTCACACAAACACCATAGATTTGGAACGGGATCGCAATAGACCTGACAACTTAGGCGCACCCTATGGTGCTAATACGTCTAACATGGTCTACTCTTGGAAGTGCTTTGCAGCTCCAAGCTCAAGCTGAATAAGCTTCCAGTGCTGCCAAGTGTGCAGAGCTGGTCATGCTCCGTTCCATGGTTCAAGACTTGCCACACAAACTCAGGTTTCAAATTCCCTGTCACACAAAGCTCACGGTGCCCTGTGCCCGAAGATGCCCGAAGATGCTGGTCACTGCGAGCTAAATGACTGCTCAGGTTACCCAAAGTGAGTGACGCAGAAATGCCCAAGAGAGCTTCAACCAAGTCCCCTTCATGGGCAAAGCATCAACATAGCCTCCTTTGCTGGTGTTGATGAAGAACAAGGAATGTCAAACGGTATGAGCAGCGTTCGTGGATTACTGTAGAGGATTGTGGCAGACCAGTAAGACTTTGCAGTTGAACAAGCAAATGCAGAGTATATCGTTTCATGCAGCTTAAAGCCAAACAGGCTAGGTGTGTCTAGCTGCACCATCATCATGAATGCAAACTCCAGTATGTTAAGAAGCTTCCACAACCTTGCGACACTTTTGCTCGTTTTGCTCGGGACGTCTTCACTGAATTTGCCCTCGCTTGCATGTCTTGCATTTGTGCTCCTTGCCTACACGTAGATTATAGCTCCAATGGCTGACTGAGTGAAGAGCCCTGTGCCACAAACCCCAGCCACCTCAAATCAACTTGTTGACTGGCAGGGCACCTCTACAAAAGGCCGGTAACCTACTTTTGAAGCATGACTTTTCTGTTGAAAGTATTTTGAGACGGCCCAGATCGATGCAAAGAATTCAATTAACTCTGTTTGAGTCAACGCACCACCTCGAGGCTCCGGAAAGGGCAAAGCGGCCCCAAAGGCTGTCAATACGATCTTTGCTTTGAAGTGTAAATAAGTAGTTGCACAAGTGTAAACGATCAAAATCTAGTAGCTTCTTGTTCCTAGTAGTAAGGCCAGGAGCCCCTAGTAGCGTCCTTGCTCCTAGTAGCGATGCCAGGAGCCCCTAGTAGTGTCCGTGAAATGTTGAGGTCTTTTCTTTGTGCTGCGCGATTCTTGTGCCAGGGTGGAAGCGCCTCTGAGAAGTGGATTCAGGCCCCAAACTTGTGACCCCTTTGGTCAATTAAGTAGGAGCCGGCTTTAAAAGAAAAGCCTTGATGACTCTAGTTAGTTGCAATCTCGCAGTGGCGCTCCAAAGCCGTCCAGGTGAAGCCTACTGTGCTAGTCACGGGTTGTGCAGGGTATGTGGCAACGTGCCATCCTTGGTGGAAGGGCCATTGATGTCTTGGCAAACGAAGTAGTCATCATTCACTGGTGTTTGTCAGGAGCGTTGTGCGCAGACTGCTTCAGGATGGTTACAAGGCACTCAGTTGCGAATTGAACCTATGAGATCTGTTGCATGTGTGGCACGTGACAGTTCTGAAAATTAATTCTGAGAGTGGTATTTGCTGGTGTGTTTGTGGGAAAACACAAGGCACATCTCCGTGGCTTCATGAAAATCACATCTATATATTGTATTATATTGTGTAGTCTACTTGAGTTGATGAGTCTCAAAAAGTCATGAAGTCACCAGTTGAAGTCCGGACGTTTCGGAAGGTGAAGGGTACCATGCGCTCGGTGGATCCAAGCGATTCCAGGGCTTCGGTCTGAGATCCGGACGAGCGGACAGTGACGAAGTTGACAAAAACACGCTCCGTTTTCTTCTACAAGAATCTGGTGCAAGCCTCAATGCATCTCAATACTAATAACTCATAGCCAGGTCGGATGCCCTATTAACATTAATGATTTGATGTGCACAATGTTGATTCTTCTCCACGGAAGTATGGCGACAACAAATGTTTGTCCTAAGTCCTAAGTACTCGTGTCGTCTTGTGTTTTCAGCGAGATAGGTCAGTCTTTTCACCATTCCTCCCGTCGCAAAGAAGAGTACAGACTCCGTCAGTTCCGAGTGGGACCAAGGTAATGGCCATGAAGAGGCTTTTCCCCTCGTTGGAGCTTTGTGAGGCCAAGCACACAGATGCAGCGATACAGGCAATACACTCACAACGCATATCATGTCATATCAATTATATCAATTGCTCATGTTTCTCAAGGATTTGGCCACCATCGTAGGGATCTCTCATTTGGTCGTAATATCTTCAACCAAGATGAGGTTTCTGCTCATTGAAGATGGGGCCTGGATGCTACTCGCCTGCCAGGCTGACCTTCTTGGGGGTGAAGACAGCTTTGCGAAGGTTCAGCAAGCTGTTGAACCAACTACAACAAGTTGCTGCCGAATGTTCGCAACGGAATTTGCCGAAATCTTCCCTGCAGAATAGATGTTTGAGGAGCTGAGGAAGTTCAAGGTTTAGATTCTTGAAACTCCAGGCGATGGAAGGCTGCAAATATGTCATCCATTGTGCCTCGCCTTTCAAGCCCTGAGCTGAGACTACGCCTGGTCCCCTTTACCAAGAAGACTGTTACAATGTGTTAGGACCGGTAAGATGTTCTTTGGCACTTCATGTTGCAGCAGGTGCATGCTAATTTGAGGTACTAATTACAAAGCGGTCGTCCGACTATGATGTGGCACAGGTTGGACGCAAAAGACGTCCAGAAAGAGCTTATCGAGCCGGCAGTGAAGGGGACAGAGGCCAACAGTCTCACCTTCGATAGAATCTACTGATGAGGAAGGCTTATGAGGTAGCTCTCAAGCAAGTTGAGCCTTACCATTGCTGACAATTGCCTCAGGTCAATGTGATGTTGAGTATGAGTAGCATGGAAGGGGCCGTTTGCAAACGGTGGCTTTCTTTTGGCATGTTGTAGCCTAGCCGTTGGTTGACTCTTTAAGAAAGGTCGCATTGTCTCCGTCATTCATTTCACCTCAACAGTCTGCATCTCATTTCATCCCACCTGCTTCAGATGATTTCAACTGCATGGCTGGCTTGAGCCTTTTGGCCACCGGACCGCTCAACTTATCTCACACAATCATTTGATCCCCTAATCTCAGCAATTGTTGAATATGTTGGCACCTTGTTTGAATCCCAAGAACCTTGCTTCATATTGCTTTCGTCTACCCCACTATTTAAAGTGTTCCAGGCCGTGATGAAAGCAGCAGCCAAGGCCCGTGCCTGCCATGTCATGCTAATGCTTATCAGAATCAACAACGCAGTTTTGCCAGGGATTGTTGGATGTTGTGGTTGCTACTGGTACTTCAAGCTGGAGTAAGACTAAGAGTCGTGAGGCCAACATCAGCCGGGTTGTTGTCACTTCCTCCATTGCTGCTGTCGGCCCGCCCATGAAGTGGATGGAGGCGGACAATTGAAACTTAATTCTATTTTAATTCTATATATTGATATTTATGTATTGTTTCTAATAGCTTCCTTGTTACTAGTAGTACGGCCAGGAGCCCCTAGTAGCGTCGCTGAAAGACATCCACCTTTCTCATGTCATGTTTCTCCTATTCGTAGCACATCCAACTCTCCCATTTCCGATGGGAGGCAGGCGGCGACGACAGCAAGGCGACAAATTGTCAAACCTCTAGACATCAACCGATCTCAACCGGTCTACCGGAGTATATTTTGAATCAAGTGGCTTTTCTCCGCGGCCGTAACTTAACTTCCGGTGTTGTACTCTTCAGGATGTTTCAACTCCTGCTTAGAAATGGCTTACACTGAGCACTGAGGAGCTCCTAACATGAAATGGTGTGCATTTGCAGCCTCAGTCATTTGCTGTCAAAGCAGGTCTGGAATGAGGAAGACTGGAACGATGACGAGCCTGATAACCCGGTGAAAGGCATAGCTCAGGGTACAGCAGCAAGAGAAGCACCTGTCAAGTAATTATATCATTGCACTCGAAATTCCGATAGAGTGTGGCTGATCCTTTGGCATGCGTGTGTGGATATAGTGCTGTAGATGACTGATGTGAATGACCCAAAGATGGACTATTGCCAGGTTACAGGGTTTCAAAGGTCTTGGCAGAAAAGAAAGCTTGGGAGCTGTCCGAAGAGCCTGAGCCTTACTGCAAGTAGATTTTCTCACTAAAAGTGTACAGAGACCAGCCATCGTGCCAAGCTTCTGGATTGGAACCAACAGCGTTTTGCACTAGGCTGAAGATTGACGTAGCCACGCTTTGCCCTGGCTTTGTCATCGGACTGTGTTTCAGAAGTTTCCTTCTAACCCTGAAGCAAGCGCAACCATTATATAACCATCAACTTCAGTAGCACTAGGACCAATGCTCAGCAGCAGAGCAGATGGCGAGTCCGTGCAGTTCATCAAAAACATGTTGGAACG